TAAACAATAGATTACATAAGGACATTGAACAATATAAATTGAAAATTGAACAGAGAAAAAGGTCTAAATTCATGAGAGATGCTGACAATTATGACAATAACAAAGGATATAAATGGACTAATGAGACACATTTTGAAGAAATTCGTAGGATCTCGTGACCACAATGTATTACATACACATCTGGTAGCTCTTTAACCTCAAGCACTACTGATTAAAAGACATCAGATGATCAATCATCTTTGAGAACACAATATTCAAGTTTTTCCTTTAGACATAGACCAAGGAAGAGGAGGACGAGACGCAGCAAGCGACGGCCAGTCAATCAGAACAAGGCCAGACTGAATCCAGTCCAAGAGGAAAAAACATATCATCGCAGGATGTACAATCCCAGCAGAAGGACTTGATCATAGTTAATATCTCTGACATCACTTTGAGTGAAAGCAAACTTAAGGTATCAAAGGGACTTTCATTTTGTCCAACCGCTAACTTTAATTCATTTGATTAATTCTTAAGTGTGGAATGATTTTTAAGATCTGTTAATGTGAAATGTTTTTTGTGCTAATAAGCCAACCAGGTTAATTGAGGATAATCTGGCCCAGACCTCAGAGACCTTGGCAGCAAAAGATTTTCATTTATGGAACCGGAGCTTGTTTAGCCCACCGGTGACACCTGAGGTTGAGGTCTTTTCCAGACTTATCCATAAAGAATTAAAGAATTTGCATTCCTCTGCTCATGGCCATCACAGCCCCAACCTCACAAAAATGAGTACAAAAATGAATAATAACTGTAACCTCATTATTAAGCTTGCTGATAAGGGCAGGGCTATGGTGGTCATGAATAGAATTGACTATGTTAGAGAAATTAAGCATCAGGAGACTCTAACAGCTATGAGATTTGTCCCAGAGATCCTACACCTTCACTCATTAGGGATAATTATACTACTATAGAAGAAGCTATCGCTATCTAAGGTAATATGGATCAAACTTTAAAAACTTACCTTATCAAGGAACATCCGATTATGCCCACATTTTACATACTACCTAAAATTCACAAGAGGTTGGTGGATCCTCCAGGTAGACCGATAGTGGCCAGTAGTGATTCTGCACTTCAACCACTTTTGGTCTTCCTAAACACAATACTGTCTCTTGCCTCTTGTCAGTAAGTCCAGGTCTTTTATACTTGATAGTGTGATGTTCTATGCAAACTCTCTTCTTTGAAGATAGATAACCCATGTATATTATTCACCTGGGACATAGTGAGTCTTTACACTTCTATTCCCAATTTAGCAGGCTTAACCCCTTAAGACCGGAGGGCGTACTATTACGCCCTATTTTAGGCGGCTATAAATGCCGCCGGGCGTAATAGTACACCCTCCGGTCTTTCCTTACTTACCCGGTCGCCGGCGGTCCCACACCAGCGATCCCGGTTGGGGGGACTCACAGGGAGTCCCCCCCCGCGGTAGATCTTCCTCCTCCGGTCCCCCCCGGCCATGTGAGAGTGAGGTCCTTGTGAGGACCTCACAATCACATGGCCGGGATAGCTGCCTCCTGCATTGCCAGCAGGGGGGCTGCCTGTAATGACACGTGGTCCCCCTGCTGGCTGTAAATAAAATAAATAAATGTTAAATCAGTGTAAAAAAAATAATATATACTTAGATCATATATATTATATATATATATATATATATATATAATCTAAGTATATATATATACACAAATACATACACATACGTACACTGTATAGGTGTATTTTACTATTAATATATATATATATATATATATATATATATATATATTTATATATATATATATATTAATATCAAATTACACGTAGAATGATCCTGATTAAATATATATATAATTATTGTTATATATATTTATATATAATATAAAAAAATTAAATATGTAAATACGTTAAAAAATAAAATAAAAAAATAATAATAATTAAAAAATATATAGATGTGTTTTATTTCGTTCTAACTGTATTGTGATATTAATATATATATATATATTTATATCAAAATACCTGTAGAACGAAATAATGTATATATCTATAAATATATACGTATATATCACTATATATACCTATATATAAAAATATATTTTTTAAAATTATATATATATATATATATATATATATATATATATATATTCACATACGTATATATATATATATACATATATTAATTCTACATATATATTTATGTAATATTTTTACATAATTGGGTATCTTAATTAATTACAATTAGCGGGACCTGCCTGACAACCCATGCCGAAAGTAAAGGGAATTTAATTTGCTAGCACTATATTTAACCCTATAACTTTCCAAGACACCATAAAACCTGTACATGGGGGGTACTGTTCTACTCGGGAGACTTCGCTGAACACAAATATTAGTGTTTCAAAACAGTAAAATGTATTACAACGATGATATCGCCAGTAAAAGTGAAGTTTTTTGCATTTTTCACGCACAAACAGCACTTACACGGACGATATTATTGCTGCAATACTTTTTACTGTTTTGAAACACAAATATTTGTGTTCAGCAAAGTCTCCCGAGTACAACAGTACCCCTCATGTACAGGTTTTATGGTGTTTTCAAAAGTTACAGCATCAAATATAAGGCTTTTGTTTCATTTTTTTCACATTAAAATTCGCCAGATTGGTTAGGTATGTCCAGTCTTTTTTAGTAGCCACTTAGACACAAACACTGGCCAAAATTGGCTTTTTTGCATTTTTCACACACAAACAAATACTAATGCTAACTTTGGCCAGTGTTTGTGACCAAATGGCTACTAAAAAAGACTGGACATACCCCATTTGCAATACCTTGGGTTGTCTACTATTGCAAATGGTATGCCATTATGGGTGTAAATTTCATTCATGGGCTACTATAAAGTCCCAAAGCAATGTAACCAATCTGGCGAATTTCAATTTCAAATGTAACGTGCTATATTTGACCCTGTAACTTCCCAAAACGCCATAAAACCTGTACATAGTGGGTACTGTTTTACATGTGAGACTTTGCTGAATACAAATATGTGTATTTTATTGCAGTAAAAGCAAACAGTATTATGACATTGACAGTTAAAATGTCATGCAGAACTAAAAAAAATTAAAAAAATCTTTTCTCCCACTTTTTTCATATTAAATTATGTTTCATAGTTAAATGATTGATATTAAATGAAAGCCCTGTTTCCCCTGAATAAAATTATATATAATAAGGGTGGGTGTATTTAATATGAAAGAGGCGAATTACGGTTGGACAGACATGTAGCGCAAATGCCAGGTTTTGTTTACATTTTGTTTCGTTCACAACGTGTACATTTGGCTCCCTCCTTAAGGGGTTAAATACCATCAGAAATGTTCATGAAAAAAGTCAGTACACCAATGCTCAGATCAATTTTCTGTGTCCATTTTGGATTTATTGCTTCATAGAAACTATTTTTTTATTTGGTGATCCTTATTACAGACAACTCAGGGACACTACAATGGGCTCCATCATATGTCAATCTGTTCATGGATGTTTGGAAACTGGACACGTGCATGCACGTGTCTGGTGGAGATTTATCGATAACGTGTTTGTCATATGGTGTAGCCAAAGGAAGAGCTAGATTCCTTTTTTAAGGACATGAATGCCATTGTTATGGGCAAAATGCTAATATTTTATTTCTCAAAATGTGTACTTTGTCTTTAAGAGATATTGCAAACTGACAAGGTGTTAGAAATGGAACATATTGTTTTTATACGGGTTTCTTTAAGCAATAACCTTTTACCTACTTTCAGTGCAAAATATGTTTATGCCATTTTCTCCCAGACGAAATACAATAACAATAATGCATAAAAAAGCTTCAAGGCTCTGCTATAAATTATTGTAATGGATTTTATATGTCTATATTTATATTTTTTATATAATAAATATCTAAAAAGAAAAATGTATTGTTTCCAAGACAATCCTTATTTTATATTATATTCTCAATTATTTATATATTTTAAATAAAGGATCTCTTGCTAATTATAAAATATTATGGCTAAAGATATCTGTATGGATAGCATTGCGAAGTTCTATGCTTTAAGACGCTGTAATGGTAAATAAGGGATATATACTTTGTCATGGCACAAGTCTTGAAATATCAAGAATCTAATGAGCTATTTGTAGCCCAGACTCAGAGAGAGATCTTCATCATGAAGAGATGATTTTAAAGTGAACTTGTACACGGCACTTGGAGTTCAGGCTTCAGGTACATTGTAAATATACAGGATTTCTGATAACTTTTAAACTGAAATTGTTGAAAGGTTTATTTAAATAAAATGTTAAATACCTTTACAGCTTTAAATGTGACCAAAAGATACTAAATGATGTGTTAAGCCAAGGTGACCCAATTCATTAAAATAGCATAAGTATTATATTATTTAAAGTGCACATTTTCTACACATAATGACTTGGCTTACTCAGGTAAATACTTTAGTCTATTGCAGGGGTAGGCAACTTACGGCACTAGTGCCATGCACGGCACTCGAGTTGTCTTTCCACTGCACTCAAGGCTGCTAGAGCCAAACAGGCTCTGGCCTATCAGGAGCCTCAGTGAAACTTCAGATATCTGCTAATACGAAGAGGTAGTGAAGGGCAACCCTCAATTTATTCATTGCAGCACGTAGAGGAAGTGATCTCAGATCACTTTATTCCGGCACTTGTGAATGGGAATCCACACTGTAGTAGAATAGCCTGCAGCTGCTCTTGCATCTCCTTTCCTTGACTTATACCTGGCCAGCCTGGTCCCCACTAGAACCCAGGGAAGCCACCCACACTGCTAGATATACACAGACCTGCAGAATAAGCCTCCCCTCATACAAATAATATGAACAGCGTACACACAGTCCCCACAAACGCAACACCACTAACAATCCACATACATGCACACAAACCCACATGCAGTCTCTCACATGCAATACCCCAAACAGCCCCCACACACTACCAAACACACAATGTGACATATCCATCCACACACAATTCCACAAGCAGCCCTCATACACAGCCCACATTCATATGTATCATACACAATACCATAAACTACTAATGAACATATACAATATAATAGCTCATATACGCCCAAATACAACGATACAAAGCAATTACAGTAAAAATAACACAAGCAGAATATGGCAGCATACATACCTCAATTTAAAAAAATAGGACCGGCACGCTACGGGACATCAAAATCCTATATCGGCACAGTGCTGCTAAAAGGTTGCCTACCCCTGGTCTATTGCAATGGCAGAAGGATTAAAGTCCACCAATTTTAAAAGGGAAAGCTTTCTTAAATCAGTGGTACTATCCCACTGTACCTGCAGTGGTAGCAGTAAGGAAATTATAACAATAATACAGTACTGACTGTAATCAGTCCAGACACATGTAATCTCAGTGAATTCCATAAACTGGGTTTTCATAAAATAGCATAAAATTAGATTAAATATCAATGTTGTTCATACATAAATATATATATATATATATATATATATATATATATTATAAATAAATATATTATAAATAAATATATTTGTAGACTAGGCGATAAGAGCAGTTACTTGCTGTACCAGGTTGCATTCAGCAGCCTGCTGTCTCAGAGCCAGGTACTGATTTCTACAAAAATAAAAAAGATGTTTGAAAATCTAGAGAGAAGCCCACAGGGATAGGTAAACCACAACCATATGACGGATAAAATAATTGCTTCTATAAAAGCTATGTGCTGCCGCAGTTAAACATATAAATACAGATTAGGAAACAGCGTAGAAATTAAAATACAGTTTTAAATCTCATATATGGGGATTCAGTTTTGACCACATGGCCATATTCTATAGTACCCCAATATTGGGGCATCCTATACTAATTCCAGTGGGAGATAGTGCTAATGCTAAAAGTGGCTAATCTTAATAATATGTTGTAAGAGCATTGTGGATATATATAATGCAAAATTAATGTGATATTGCAGAGCCTGCAATATTCTAAACAGACATTAATATTGTATTGCCCTTCTAGGAACTGATGTGGGCATACTTGATTTTATTATGCTGCTGCTGGTCCTTTAAGAACCATCTGGGGACATACTGTGGAGTTACTGGGTGGCCACCATTTCATGTATCAGAGGCACATGGTGAGAACAATGGATGAAGCACATGATGAGAACAATGGATGGCGGCCATTTTAACTGACAGACACTGTTTGGACTTTTCTACATAGTGCCATCTCGCCGGTATTTGGTGCACAAAGACATCGTGCAGTAGTTTTAAACTATAGAACAGGGGACACATTTAACAGTAATTATTTTTCATATACCCTGTATATGTTCTGCGGAATCTGCATTAAACTGTATCTTCCAAACTACTGAACGGATCTGGGTGAATTTTGGATATGTGGTTCATCCAGATCCCCCGGTTCCTAGGATATACTTTTTATGGGGTCATTGCATGTTTTGGGGTCCCTGTGATATGTTTTATAATACTGTATTTCTCTGCCTGTGATAATTATATTAACCATTGTGTTCAGTAATCACATCACAGGAAGAGGGGAGGATTTTGTGTGGGAGTGTCTGTGTGTATTGTACAGATTGATTGGTTGTATTTCAAAACCCTGTGGGCAGTACTATCTTTGTGGATTGTGAATAAAAGAGGCTGTATGTGCCAGTACAGTCAGTTCTACTTCACCCTCAATCTGAGTCCTGTCTCTTATTGGGGGAATCTGCTACAAGGGATTGCTATGCTCTGCATATTCCCTTGCTATAGTCACTGAGCTCTTGTAAGAGCTTGTTCCTGTCTTGCTCTCTGAAGGAGTATACGGGCGTTATGGTGTCGGCTGGAGTGCTTGGAGCCCTCAGGAAGCGCTAGGAGCATCCTTCAACGGAGGTACCCAGTCGGGGTGCCAGGTGATCCATTACAATATATGCCTTAAAGATGTTTCAAGGATTTTTATATAAATAAATATGCAGGTATAAAAGTAAATCAATGTAAAAAAGAAAAAAAAATTTAGATTCAAGTACTTGTGGCATGTACTTTATAGAATCTGTTTACATCAGGCAGGTTTAGTATAAATGCAAAGTTTTTTTGTTTTTTTGCATTGATTATTGCCCAAGAAATCTCTGAACATATTAAGAATTTTTGGGATCAGCAGAACTGTATTTATCTAAGAAGTAAAGACAGCAGATTGCAATGGACACAATTACAATATTGCTTTGCCGATTTGAGGTCAGAGCTTTAAAGAATAAATAAATAAATATTCTATAGCCCGCTAAACCACTGGCTTTTAATTAACAGTTAGCACAACACATAAAATAGTTTGTTATACTGCACATTAGTGATGTCCTGAACTGTTCGCCTACAGTTCGCCACGAACGGTTCGCCGCGGACTCATCATTGAGTAAACTTTGACCCTGTACCTCACAGTTAGCAGACACATTCCAGCCAATCAGCAGAAGACCCTCCCTCCCAGATCCTCCCACCTCCTGGACAGCTCACTAAGAATGCAGCTTCACAATGGATGCTGTCCAGGAGGTGGGAAGGTCTGGGAGGGAGGGTCTGCTGCTGATTGGCTGGAATGTGTCTGCTGACTGTGACTGTGAGGTACAGGGTCAAAGTTTACTCAACGATGAGTCCGCGGCGAACCGTTCGGCGAACAGTTCGGGACATCACTACTGCACATTGTAGTTGTGACAAAATAATATACAGGGTAAAAATGCTATTTCACTGTTTAATAGACTTACCAAGTATTTAAGGACGACATGTTTCTTACAAAGTCATCGGAACTTTGATGGAGATATTAAATATGTTTAATTAATTCATTTACTAAAAGGGAAAAAAATAAGTTGTTTTTTTTGCAAGTGAATTTTCAGTGCAAGGTCATTTTGTGTAAACACTCTGTTCAGTTTTAAAAAGCTGTTCTAAGCTGTTCTATTTGTCTCACGTTATGGACGGCCTTGTGATTAATATGCACAGAAAAAAAATTGGCTTTTAGATGCACATTGTTTTACTTTAAAATTCCATTGTTAATACAGGAAATAAAGTAATATAAAGAAAGTATATTAATTGTAAAAGATTACATTTATGTATCTTGGTCCACTGTTGACTGATCTCTCAAGTCTCAGTCTGGTGTAAAAACAGTTTTTCTTACGATATGTGGTGAGTTTATAGCCACAGCTGCATATTGCTTTGTAGAAACAAATTGAAAGCCTGGCATTGTATTACATGTATGTACATAGAGAACGTTACCTGCGCTCTGGCCTAAATCCCCATGTACATTTAAACAAAATGGAGGCTCTTTAGTTTTATTCCAATGGCCATTTGAATATATAAGCTCACCTGCCACGTCAAGGCAAGCCTCAATAGGTGAGTTCCTACACTAGCCATTAGAAATGCCGATATCAGCCAAGAATCTCCAGTGAGACAGGAAGGGGTATTTTATAAACCCTTTCACATTTAACCATTTATAGGGCTTCTACACATACAATAAACCTTGCTGGTATCAGACAAAGTGTAAACATCTCTAATGAGACATGAAGGGGTGTTTTATAAACCCCTACATACTTAATTCTGAATAGGGCTATAACACATACAAATCACCTTGCTGGTATCAGTTAAAAGGCAAATTTCTCTGATGAGTCATGAAGGGGTGCCTTGACGTGGCAGGTGAGCTTATATATTCAAATGGCCATTGGCCAAATCAACTGTTTTGTTGCAGTAGAGGCCTGACAGAGCCTCACCAGGGATGAAACCCAGCGTCTGGAGATGTCTGTGCATTCCAGATTTCAGGCTGTAATTGACTGCAAAGGATTTGCAACCATGCATTAAAAAGTGAAAGTTTGATTTATGACTTAATCTGTCCCTTTACTTTTGGTCCCTTTAAAAGTGGGAGGCACATATACAAACTGTTGTATTTCCTACACCGTTCACCTGATTTGGATGTAAATACCCTCAAATTAAAGCTGAAAGTCTGCAGTTAAAGCACATATCGTTTGTTTCATTTCAAACCCATTGTGTTGGTGTATAGAGCCAAAAAGATTAGAATTGTGTCGATGTCCCAATATTTATGGACCTGACTGTAAGCCTTTACTTATTGATAAGTAGGCCACATTATTGATGTACTGTTTATTGAAATATTAATATCTAATGTACTTTATGTTGGACATTTGCCAACATCTCATAGTTAAAAATATGTTTTTGTATGTGTTGATGCATGTACCAGGTTTACTACCAGGATATATCCTGTGTGAAGTGCAACCTCTGATACCACGATCACTTCCGTACTAGTTGCTAGCCCGCACACAGTTGTATCTACTTATGGTATCTACATCTGTCCTATGGTACAGATGAGCATTAACAGCATACCTGATGATACAAATGGTGAGACACCATATGAAATGTTACACATTTTTTGCTGACAATCATATTTCTGCACCAGGGAGGACTTAGAACCATTAGTTCTATTAGAGAAATTTAGGGAATTTTTTTTCCAGCCCACCCATGCACCACCACCTATTTTCTACTGTTGGCCAGTTTGTCCTGGAGAGGGTTGTGACAGACCTCCCTGCCTCTGGATTGTAACTTAAAAACTGGTTTTGTCTGTTTGTTCGTAAATTACCAGGTATTTGTCTATTTCCCTGGTTTCATTCATTAAAACGAACTAACTACCGAATGGCTGGCCACCCAGCAGTAAATTGTTCTGCTTGTTAACCTTTTTCACCTCTTTAACACTGTGGTTAACCGACGCCCAGCTGTGTTTTGTCATTGAACTATTTTCGGGCACAGTTTCACATAAACACCGCTGGGACTTCCAGACTTCCATCATTTTGTTTAGATTCATACGAACGCAACGCCGTTCATTACTTCTAAAACTCACAAACCAGACCGACCCTGAGGACTAAAACCCATAGAACTGATTCTGGACAGATTATGCTGAACGGTTCATGAAAATACTTAAACCCCATGGCGATCTGACTGTGTTCGTGGGATCTGAGCGCTTTTCGGACATATTGAGCGCTCATATCCAAGCTATCTGTGGATATGTCGAACATGGGGGTTTAATTATGAAGAATATTAGTTATGTATTTTAATGTGTTTTTATTACAGTTTAACTTGGGAATATTCTCTCTATCTGGAGATAATTAACTTTACTACAGCTCCTTAACCCAATTATCTCCAGGATAGAGAGGAGGGATTATACTGCT